TTATGCCATGGTTTGTGATCCTCGTCAAAGATCTTTCCTGGATGGTAGACATTCTGTGGAGATTAGAACACATGCACAAACTTTCTTGTTGTAAATGTCTCTGTGCAGAAGAGAGTACAGCTCATTCCATGTGGATAATTTCAAGAATATTGATATAAATAAATATTATGTGTTTGCTTGCAGTCACTGAAGACTGGAAAAAATAAATGGGAAATGTTTATTTCAAGTAACAAATACACATATATAATATAGATCAAGACATATACTATATATTATATTACTTATATTTTATACAGCATATATGTGTATATGTGTGTGAATTTCCATATATATGATAATTTACCAATAGTCCATGATATGAATAGCTTAATTCATGAGGAAGCTTCAACCCATTATCAATTTCCAACTGATATATTAAAGCATATTATAGACATATCCATGTAAAACCAGCCAATTCACACCCAAAGTAGATTCAACTGATAGCTATCACTTCATGGCCATGCCTATATTTGAGTATAAGAACAAAATTGTCCCAAAGCAGTCCTATGGCAAAAGTCATTTCAAATACAGTGATGGGTTTAACTGAATTGAAATGTGACTCCTCTCTTTACCTTCTGGTTCAACAGGAGAAATAGTTTCCAGATTATATATAACACCTTATAAGAATAAAAATAGCCGCTTGGAAGGTTTTTTTTTTTTTTTTTTAACAATAATATATCCAAATAGTTCATTAGAATTAGAAACCTAGTTCTAGGTTTTGTAAATAGTTCATTAGAATTTGAAACCTATTTCTTCTTTAAAAAACATGTGCTGATGCGTTTGCCTTTATGGCCATTTGCAATGGGTTGGAATGTCTTCTTTACCACACAATGTGGCTCAGAGCCCCAAAACTACAGTCCAATGGCAAGGAATATTCTGATTCTATCAGTCAATGCAAGGTAAAGGAATAATAAAGAAAAATTCAATAAACATATTCCACTAAACAGTCAAAAATATGATTATTTGGCATAGACCTAGTATGGTTATAATTGAACATATTTCATACTTTTTTCTCTTAGGATTAACTTAAACTTGAAAAACAATTATAACTTTATGTTTTTCTATGGTCCATTTCAAATCATTTATTAAATAAAATAATAGCAATCTTTTTTCACACTGAACACTATGAAGATTTAAAAAAATACAAAGTTTCCAAAAATATCGAAGTTTCCAAAATACTATTTAACAAGTATTGCTGACAGAAATACATTTATACCACACATAGATGTATGTCTATGGCAATTATCAGTGCATTCATAGTGAATTAATTAGAATAAGTCTTCCTACTCTATCTGATCTTGCAGATTTAAGAGAGATATAGAATTGCTATGGTTTCTACAGTGAGAAATCAATGAAATATCTATTATATATAAAATAGAAAAGATAATCCAAAGATGGATATTTATGACTGATATATACCTAAGAATGTTGTACTACAAAGATATTAAGCTTGAACTTTGCAAAAAAAAAATATTTTAGAGAGGAAGGAAAGGGAAGCAAATTACTAAAAAACATTGAATGACAGCATGCATGTGTGATATAATATACACAGAATATTTCATTTTCTGCATGCTTATATGTGAATTGGATAACATTGAATAAAGGAGAGCAAAATAATTATCACATGCAGTGGTCTGAAAAGTGTAATTAAAAGTTGGTGCAAACAGGAAAAAAAGGAAGACAAGAAGAAAGTAGAAATTGAGGTATACTGCAATAATTAGGCAGACACAGCATAGATCACAAGTTTTATCTTATTTTATATATTTTTAATCACCTTGTAAAATGCTTACATAAGTCAACAGCAGATTCAAAGACTTGAGACGATGCCATGGATCTCTCAATGTCAGGACCCAAACTTACATTTCCTCTGATAGTAAAGATCGTATTTTCCGACACTGTCCACTGACTTAAAGACCAAGTTTAAGATTTTTTTTTTTTTTGGCTTAAAACAATAGACAACATATATGATTTTTAAGTACACCCAAAGAAAGAAAATAATACAGATGGTTTTTGCTGAAAGTCAGGAGAACAAATAGGGTTGGATACTTGAATTAAAAGACTGATAATAAAAAGGAACAAGTACCATACAGAGTGCAAATTGATAGGAAGACCGCAAGAAGAGCATCTGAGCAAGGCCGCTAAGAAGCACACATCCCTAGCTACAGAGGTTTATGGCAGCGGAATGAGTGCATAGACTTGCGTTCATCCTTACCTTTTTCCCCCTTTCCACCCAGTCAGGCTCCATTAAACAATGAATGAAAGTTGTCAAAGTGTATTTACAATGTACCACACCGTGGACCAGTGAATTCGACTTGGCAATTTTCTGATAAAGGGATGATACGGCCAGGAATGAGCAGATGCTCTGCGAACTGATTTAGAAAGCAGCGCTGATTTTGATCTTTGGGAAGATTAGCAGTTCTGACTTGCTGGCCAAGGTGAGCTGCCTTACAGATTAAATAAGAAACAGGTTTTAAAGGACTGTCTTATTCATTTCCTGCCATCTGAATCAGTACCTCTTAAAGGTAAAAAAGGTAAAAAACACTTAGTTACACAGGCTGTTTTTCATTTTGTAATTTTTTATAATATGCAGAATATGGCAATGAAATAAATTGGGTTAATAATCTTAATCTGGGGCACCTGGGTGGTTCAGTTGGTTGAGCGTTGGACTTCGGGTCAAGTCATGTTTTCACCCTTGATGAGTTCGAGTTCTGTGTTGGGCTCTGAGGTGTTAGCCTGCGTCAGATTCTGTTTCCCTCCCTGCCCCTACCCTGCTCATACTCTGTGTCTGTCTCTCTCAAAAATAAACAAACATTTTTTAAAAATCTTAATTTGAAAGATCAAAGAATTAGAGGAATGTAAACATTAATACATCTTGAAGGAAGTATAGACTACATTACAACATCAATTCATGGAAAAAAGTGAAAGGATTATTTTGAGTAGATCATCAGTATCAGTACCATTTGCACAATTGAAACGATTCTCATCTTGAAAAACAACTGTCGCGTGTGTGCAATGAAGTGTGGAATAAAGAATGTTATTTAAATATATGTGCACACATATGCACATAAACTACTTTGTCTTTGTTTTGCACAAACATCATCAAATTAATTGAGGCCACACACGGTGGTAAAATCCCTAGAGTTATTAATTGCATAGTATATACTTGTATTTCAGATCCTGTATATATTCAAACCATCCATCACCTTCACATTTTGCAAATATGCTGCAACTTCCTCCTTTATGAAGGCCTAGTGCTCAATTAGCAAGAATTGCTCTCCTCCTCAGCTGCCCCCACACCAGCTGGATCATCGCAATCTTTACAACCATTCATTTAGCACTCCTGTTTGATTTTCTCAGGGAAGGGGGCAAAGCATCTCGGGTTGTTTCTTTCCACCCTCAATCAAGATCCTACACAGGGTCATATCTACCCCAATCTATCTTTTTAAATCAGTTATCCTCTCTTTACCATCCTAAGTCTCTTGTCTCTATTGACCTTTTACACATCTGCATAGAAGACATACATTCAGTCGCTCAACTTGCAGTTAAAATCCTCCTTTTATCATGTACTCATTGATTTGCTTTATAACATTTCTCATTACAATCTAAGGAAAGAAAGATTAAAATGACAAAGCATTTTAGGTGAAGACATCAATATTTTACATAGTCTAGTGCTAAATACTGTTTTGTAAGTGTTTACACACTCTGAATTCCATTTTGCCGGGATGCCTTCATGGCTCAGTCAGTTAAGTGTCGGATTCTTGATCTTGGCTGAGGTCATGATCTCACAGTTCATGAGATCAAGCCCTGTGTCAGACTCTGGACTGACTGGATGTCTGCTTGGGATTTTCTTTCCTTCTCTCTCTCTGCCCCTCCCCCACTGAATTTCCCTCTTTCTCTCTCTCTCCCTCAAAAATAAATAAAATTAAAAAAAATTCTACTTTGTGGCTCCCTCTTTGTAGCATCTAAAAAAAAACCCCTCAATTTTAGCCAATATAAAATTATATGTATTGGGTGAATTAATAAAATTTATACAGTTCAAGTAGAAAAGTATATACAAAACACGCAAATAAAATAATTATGCAGTTAGATGACAGAAAGATAGATAGATAGATAGACAGATAGATAGATAGATAGATTCACCTCAATACCTACAGTAGCATGTCAGAATAAAATTTCTCAACCTATGTTATGAACCTATTCTACAGTAGAATCATCTAGAGTACTGATAAAAAAGGCGAATTCCTTTTTATCTAGTCTTTCTGAGTCAAAATAGATGAAGACAAAGCCCTGGGATCTGAATGTTACTAGGTTTCCAAGCTAAAATCATTCAATATCAAAAGACTAAGTCACATTGCAGTAGGAGTTATATTTAAATCTTTCTTTGCTAATATCTGTGTTTTTTCATTTTTACAATGACATAAACATAATGTACTCTTAGAAGTAAAAAGTAATAAATAGATTTAGTCCAATGACAAATTCTTTACAATAAAAAAGAGTCAGGGAGAAGGATAATGGTTCTACTAAAGCTGTCTTGATGAATCCATGACTGGCAAACAAAACCCCGTATTATATTGAATGTTAGCTAACATGGTGAAGATTTTTACATTAGTTGGAAATGTTTCTTAATGCTACTTAAATTAGTGCAACATAAAATAATTAATATTTATGCATTAATAGAGCAGTAATAGAACTGGAATTCACGATAAATCTGTTATCTGAAAACAAAGATGGGGGCACATTCATGGTACATTCTACATCAGATCTTCCCATTATATATATTTATTTTTCTAAGAAAAGATCCAAAAAGTCAGACATAGCCATAATTAAAATGTAATCACATCTTCAAAAGGAAATATGTTAGCATTTTAACGACTTGACAATATGGATTATTCATACCATTATGGATCATTCATGGAAAAATGGGTGAATTGACTAAATCAGAGAAAGTATGCTCTTTTTACCTTCTTTAAAGAAAGGATCCCTTCTCTGGTCTCTTTGTCAGTGGAGATGGAGAATATCCCAATACCATCACCATTAATGATGGAGTAGGTCATGTCAGCATTTGAACCAGTGTCTGCATCATTTGCTTTGATTTTCCCAACAGCTGACCCAACTTGAGCTGACTCAGGAACATAAAGCTGATAGTGCTCTGAAAAATATTTCATATTAAAATTTTCTGATGGTAATAGGTTCATAAAAAAGTAGCTTCATAAGAAAAATAAATTAAACTTGTTAGGCCACATATTCAAACAAACATTGTATTAAGTAGTATATAAAATGGATGTGTTTTTATGTTTTAAATATCAGTAAATTGCTTAGTAGTGAAATACTAGATTTACATAAACTTTAACATATATGTAAAAAAAACCTACATTAAAAAATTTGTAGATATCTTAATAAAAATATTTTATTAGCTCTACATCCATAGGAAACTGAATAAAAGATAAGGGAGGTCTAATTTGCTTCTTATGTTGAGCAAAACTAAATTAGTCAAGTATTAACGTAATCCCCAAAGCATTTCTCCTCTATATAGCATGCAAAATTAAAATATAAGAGTGTATAAACTTGTAATTCAAAGTGAAAACAGAGAAAACAATATAATGTACCCGTAAGTACGATTATTATTATGATCAACAAAGTTAAGTTTAATGAAATGTAAAAGCCATGACAAAGAGAGACAGTAAATGTATTTATGCATTTAATTTCCATGTATTCCTGGTCAGCTTCTAAAAAGAATTTAAAGTGGTTTTATAATAAAGTTATAAATAAAATAATTAAAATAAAAATGACTAATTTAAAGAATGAAAAAGATGAATATAATGACTACATAGGATGATGCTTTATTTGTCATTGAATTAATTATTACATGCAGATCCTGTAGTCAAAAACATTAAAACACTATTGACTCTATAAATCTCATGATCTGATATGCAGTAATATATTTGTCAGTATGTTCTTATACTGAATATATACACTGATAATTTTTTTAAATTTCAAAGTTTGTCCTGATACTACATTCCTTCAGAAAGAGCTCATAGTACTCTCTTCAAAGAAACTTATAAAATAGATATTAAGAAACTTAATGGTCGCATCATTACCAATTGTTTTATTGACAAGTTAGAAACATATCTATTAAAACAATATATTTGTTATAGCAAATCTCAAATAGCAATACAAATGATGGAAACCTTAAATTAAAATGTAATTGTATAAAAGACTTTCAACCAAGACTAAATTAATGGTGTTTAACATTATGCATGGACTTAATCAGACTATACAGACAAGTGAATGCGGAGCCTGTATGAAAATCATTTTCCTGAACCAATGTTTTGTTAGTTATGGTGTGATAATATTTTTTCAAGTTAATATATCTGGTAAAGGTGTGTAGTAGTCTAATTGGCTTCTAAAGATACAACTGTTTGTTTTAAAGTGCTATATGATTTATGTGTCTATGTTTATTCAAAATTCAACAAACTTTTTTTCCCAGTTCTCTTCTATAAAAATTTGAGAGGCTACCTGACATTTTTTAGTTCAATAGTCCTCACCGACTTAACATTTCCTGGGTAGACCACCCTCTTCCATGAAATGCATGATCCTCTGACCTTCATCATGTGTTTTTATCAGGATCTGTCATATTGCTGAACAGTCTATCTGTTCTGACATATTTAATTGATCTGCAAAGAGCATGAGACCCAAATTCCTACAGGACTTTACCTCTCTACTTGGAGTTGACTTGTGAAAGGGTAGGCAGGTGAGTCACAATGATCCAAAAAGGATACATTCCATAAAATGTGAGAACTGGAATGAGGAAAGACCTTTAGTCTCTCTTTGGTGGCAAAGCTATGAAATGTTGGAAGGGGTTTCTGACAATAGTCACTTTTCCAAAATTCATGTTGAAGTTCCTAATCTCAGTACAAATTCAGTATCAGAAGGAAGCCATAATAATTTTCAGACTTTGTAAACACCATAATGTTCCTAGGTAGTTATATAAAATAGGGCACAATTCTATTAAAAAATTAGAGACAAAATTTGGAATTCATCTCCTAATTTTTTTTTCTGAGATAGAAAGGCTAGAAAGTCAAGTTCCTAGTTGCTAAGGTCTCTAAATAGCAGCTTAACTTACCACAATTCTTTAAGCCTCCCAAAAGACTTTCAACCAGTTAAAACTGGGATGTATACTTACAAACAAAAGAAGTCTTAGTTCACAGAAATAAATAAGCCAATCACATAATTATTATGGTAGTAGTACTACAAAGCACGTTGTTTTTACAAAGAAAATTACAAAAAGTTGTATAAGGTAGTCATAAAAGACTCGTCCCAGAAAACATTTAGGCTGTGTTTCATAAGAGAAAGCATGTCCGTGGAAGAAGATCAAAGGGTCAGAGGAAGAACTGATACTTGTTGATACATTCTAAGCCCTGCAAGCATAGCATCTTCACCATTCATGATGCTCCATTAGGTAAATTATAGTGTATTAAGATTAATATTTCAATATTTATTATTTCCACATAGCTGAGAATTTGTGAGTTGTAAACAGTACTTAAAATGTCTCCTAATAACTAGAAAATAGCTGATAGATAAGATTTATTCAGAAGTCAGAAAGTGTTTAGAAAATTTTTTTAGAACTTCTAAGGACTATGTAAATAGCCAGGTACCTAAAAAATACTTTAAATTTCAGGACAATAATTATGGTGAGTTTCTTTAGAGAAAAATAAGCAACACAGTTTCACTGAGGTGCAACTGGCATACAAAGACCTATACATATTTACTGTGTACAGTTCCATGGGTATAAATATAGGCAAACACTGGCAATAGCATCAGCAAAATCAAGTTATTAAACATATTCAACATCTCCATATTTTCTTGTGTCTTCTGCTTTTGTTTTATTTTGTGTTTGTGGTAAAAATACTGAACATGAGGTCTACTCTATGAACACATTTTGAAGTGCACAAATTGTATTGTAAATTTACCTATTGTAAAGTAAAGGTACTATGTGGCATGACAGATCTCCACAACTTATTCATCCATCATTAGGGAAATTGTATGCCCATTGAAAAACAATTTCTCATTCCCTTCAGCCTCCTGCCTTTGACAATCACTATACAATTCAATGACCTTTGGATGGACATGATAATAAAGATCATAAAGAATATAAACAATAGACTTGCCAGGAATTAAATAATTTAAAAAAATCTTAAAGGTCTTTGGGACCAGGATCCTTCTAAAGAGCCTAATGTATATTTAAACCTTAGGTGTTTTATTAATATTTGTGTTTAACATAGACATTAACATTCATATGCACATTTGTAACTTTAACCCAATATAATATCTTTATGTGTCACATGTTTAGTATAGTGTGATTAACCATGGGAGGAAATATATTGAATTATCCTAAAATAAGAAAAAACATCAGACAAACCTTACTCTAAATATTAATTCTAAAAAAATGCAAATACCACTCTTAAAGACATGTAACATATGAAATTATGTTTACGAATTCTAAAAACTGAGAGCCAATAGTCCATAAATAATTATATATTATCTTTAAATAATAATAATTGCATATAAACCTCCATTTACCTGTTATTTATGAGAACTTGCATTCCTTATAGACTTAAAGAACACCTGGAAGAAACTTTAAAGGGTATGATTCAAAATGTAAATGTTTGGGGCGCCTGGGTGGCTTAGTCGGTTAAGCGTCCGACTTTCGCTTAGGTCATGACCTCGCGGTTCATGGGTTTGAGCCCCATGCCGGGCTCTGTGCTGACTGCCAGCTCAGAGCCTGGAGCCTGTTTCAGTCTGTGACTCCCTCTCTCTCTCACCCTCCCCTGCTTACGCTGTCTCTCTCTCTCTCTCTCTTAGAAATAAATAAAAAATTTTTAAAAAATGTAAATGTTTGACTAACAGCCTGAGCTATGGCATTGCTATATACAATATGGCTCAGTTGATAGAGTCAGTTTACTATTAAGGAAAAAAATTCACTTTTATCTAAATAAGATTAAAAAAGGTCATAACTCCTAGAATTTTGGAATACATGGTGAATGACCTTTTGCCTTTCATATTATTTTTTCTCTGTAATTACTCCCTCTGGGGAAAAAAAAATACCCATCTTGGATAATTTATAGCACAGTCTAATCAGCACTTCTGTGGTTGCCAAAATATCCCTCAGAGTGCTCTGCGCAAGTTCACCAAAAGGTTATACACTGTGTAACATTATACGTTTCTAAGAGGATGAAAAAGGTTTGAAAAACCCTGCTAAGGCTGCACTTTCACACATGCATATAAGCACACACATGGTATGTATGTGTATACAAACACATATTAATTATATGTATGTATATCTGCATTCCATTTATGTATCAGTGAGAGAGAGAGAGATCGTGCATTCAATTCTGGAAAATACATAATTGGATTTATAATGACATAGGCAAATTTAAAACAACAACTTGTACTTATCATATATATATATGACATATATCTATATATATATCCACAATGTACTTGTACATTTTATTTTATTTATTTATTTATTTTTAATTTTTTAATGTTTTATTTATTTCTAGGAGAGAGAGAGAGAGAGAGACAGCGTGAGCAGGGGAGGGTCAGAGAGAGAGGGAGTCACAGACTGAAACAGCCTCCAGGCTCTGAGCTGGCAGTCAGCACAGAGCCCGACGCGGGGCTCGAACCCACGAACCGCGAGATCATGACCTAAGCGAAAGTCGGACGTTCAACCGACTAAGCCACCCAGGCGCCCCATATACTTGTACATTTTAACTAAATTATGTAAAAAAAACCCAAGTCATGTAATATACGCAGTTTTTAAAATTAATTTTTTGAAATTTTATTTATTGAGAGAGAGAGAGAGAGTGCACCATGGAGGGGCAGGGAAAGAGGGAGAGAGAGAATCCCAGGCCAAGTAGGCTTCGTACCATCAGCCCAGAGCCCAACATGGGGCTCTGTCTCACTAACCGTGATATTATGGCCTGAGACATTTAACTGACTGAGCCACCCAGGCACCTCTCAATATATGTTTTTAAGTGATTTTAATGTTTATTTATTTGAGAGAGAGACAGACAGAGAGAGACAGAGTGTGAGTGGGGGAGGAGCAAAGAGAGAGGGTCTAAGAATCTGAAGCAGCTCCAGGCTCTA